CTTATCCTTCCAACTCAATCTCTAAATATGACAAGTTCATGATTTTCATAACTGGCAAGTACTTTAATCCTTCACAATTTGAACCATGGACCTGTTCCTTTTCTGCTTCATTTCACTCATCTGTCTGTAATCTCCCTAGAAAGCACAGCAATTCATGAGCTATCTTCAGCCCATTCTAGGTGTCAATCTTCTTCATTTCCTTCTTCAGGCATTTGTGAGATTATTCCTTCTCCCAAGAGTTTATTATCACTTTTTCACCATGTTTGGGCCTGGTATTCTACCTCTGTAGTGCTGCTAGATGTGCTACATACCACATACTTTACATACAGCTGCTCGTGTTCACTGTTGTATCAGATTGCATGCTTTCTGTGACTTCTGCTGCACTTGTAGTGTATTCCAAGTCAGTGGCTGTTTTGTTTTGGGAAGGGATTTATGTCCTCACATTATCCTTTTTTTGTCCTTTCCACCACTCTTTCAAGTCTTCCATAGACCAATAATTCTTTATTGCACAGTTTATTTTATCGGCAGGAGTTGTATTTTCTGAACTATTAGGTGAGGATTTTAACCTTAATTGACAATAGCTGCACCAAAATATAAGCTGGAACTCTCACCATGAGTAGACACTTCAGATGATCTGAGAGGAGGTCTGTTGATCGGTGAGCCAGTGACTCTAGAAAGATTGAAATTCCAAGACTTTTTTTTGGCATGGAACTCCTTTACAGGAAACATACAGTAGCTCCTAATTTTTTATTTTTATCGTTTTGTGTTTTCAATGACAACTGTATTGTATATATAGGAACAATGTATGAATAAAGACTTCTGCTCTTCTAGTAGTAGTTGTTCCAGAGGTGACGCGAGGGGAGGGAGGACGTTGGGTCATGTGCCCACCCAGTTTTCTGCCAGGTTTATATTTTTGTTTCTTTTGGGGGTGGGGGGTTTGGGTTCAAAATATGTGCCCTTCCCCATCTACAGTTACACATAGTCTCTGTGACCTCAAAAGAAAGGCATCCTTAGACATAAGCCAACTGCTACCCTCAGTAGATTCATAATGTAAAAACGCAGTGGAGTTTGTGGCATTGAACCTACTGTTTTATGTTTTTCGCAGAACAAAAAGGAGGTTTTGTGACCTATTTTTGTCTGTTTCTGGTTTGGAATGCCTTCATGCCATGAAACATATTCCTGGGCCAGAAAAAAAAACCCACCACAGACAGGGATGCTGGAGGACCAAAAGAGGAAGTTTTCAGCTGAGTCTTAGAATTTTTTCTCTGTGAATACAAGCCACGTTACAGAGACTTTGGGTCTGCCCACTGTTACTCTCAAGGTGAGTTCTTTGCAAATATGCATTGGAGCACTATCAAAAGAGAGTATCCTGGTGTAATACAAAATAATGGAAGCCTGAGAGAGACAGAAAGGTAAGTTAGTAGGAGGTGAAGACTCCTACGCGGTAATAATGGAAGAAGAGGGTGTGACTGATGATACAGAGAATGGCAAGGAGATAATGGATTAGTAAAACCTGTTTCTGATGTGTCTGACTCGATGAGTGTGTGCAATTTTAACTGTCAGCTTATTACCCTGATGAGCACATAACCGATATGCTGTAGGATGTGTTCTACCTGAGAGCAATATACTGCTTTAAATAATATTAATATTTAGCATTCATAAGGTGCTTGTCATCTGTAAAGCACTCTACAACTAACTAATTGATCCTCACAGTCCTCAGAGAGTCAAGTAGCGAAATAATATCCTTATTTCACAGTCTGGGGAATGCAGTTCTAAAGGGTAAGTGACTTGCACAAGGCCACACAAGGAGTGACTGGCAAAGCTGTGATTGTAACTCAGGACTGGGATTCTAACTTTCTGAGAATTTGCTTCCTCTTGGCCCCTTTTGGGATGGGACATGATGCATTCAACACGATAGCATTGATGGGGTTATTACTACATGGTGATGCTTCTGTCAACAGCTGGTGGTTTGCCACATTTCACATTGGCTCACTGCCTTAAAAATTAAAAATGAACGCTACACCTCTTGTAAGAGGGAATTAAGTGGACAGAAGCACAAGGAACTTCAGCATTTAATCTTTGAGTATATTTTTCTAAAAGAGCATCTGGTTTTTATGGTGTTCACATCACATCCATGCATGACTTTTTAGGCTTTTCCCCTTGATCTCTTAGTGTTCAGCTTACCAAGATGGAACTAGCATAACTGCGCCCAGGAACATAATAAGTTCTGTCTTTTGGGGCTGTCCTTAAAATGTTGATAGGGTTTTTTGGAGATGTGACAGGTGAGGTTATCCCTTATCATCATTATGCTATAGTCTCTTTGGATCAGCCATATAACTCTACTGCTAGCCAGAGCTGCTGCACAGGAACTTTTCCCTCCACTTCTATTTGAGGCATGGAGTTCTCCTGAGATCTCTTCATTTTCTTTCCTCAGTCTCCCTGGCCAACTAACCCTTCTCGGGAGGTCAGTGTATAGAGTTAAAGAGGCATTATTCCTCTTGGCATGATGTCATATCCTTCCCTTGCCAGATCAGTTGTGCCAGCAGCGGAACCTTTTGCACAGAGAAATTAGACTCTCCTGGGATCTACCATGCATTCTTGAGCGCTGCACAGAAGCCTACAGTTGGCTTGAGAAAGCACAAGTTTAATATACAAACATGCTGATAGTTTAATATATTGGTAGGAAGGCCTGATACAGGACTGCAATGCCAACATCGTCGTCTGCCATGTGCACAAATTCACATGTACAAATCTGCAAAGCAGTGGAACTTTGGTCCTCTCAAATGTGTTTAATTTTGCCTTTCCAGTACCTGTACTAACATCTGCTTTGGTGAATGCAGTTACATATCCTTACACATGTAACAGCTGAAGTGCTATCCACTTAAGTTGGATAATTTTTGGACAGACAAAAGCATTTCTGGACGATAGTGAATATTATGAATAAAGGATATTTTAGTTATCTGAGTTCATAAATCATAGTGCAATTTATACTGGATATTGGACATTTTGTGAGGACAGACATTGAGTAATCATACAGACTTATAGGAGAGAAAGAAGACAGGCAATAAGACAATGACATCTATATGCTAGCATTTTGACTCTTCAACTTACATTCAGTACATATTTGGAGAAAGAGTGCAAATTCCTAGAAGAAATTCCTAGAAGAAAACATTATTCATACTACTTTATTTGCATAAATCAGAGTCTAACTTAATAAATTTCTCCTTCTACTTCATCCTATGTCCTCATAAAACTTGTCTTACTCATAATATTTTCATCTAGCTAGTGAAATTTGCTTGATTGCACTCCACACAGTGACTTCGATTTTCCACCTAAGTGATTAAGACTTCAGTAAGTTCAACTCTTCCCATTAAAGCAAGTACCTATGTGTGGGTTTCCACACTATTTGCTGTCAGATATAAAAACAGGTCTGGAGGTCAAAAAGTAAAGCAACAATCTGAGATTAGTGGTAATGTCACAGCAGCGTATCACACCAGCTATCTATTGCTAGTCTAGAAAGAAACTGTAGAGTACTCAGCCAATGAAACTAAAATGTACTTGATAGCATATTTTTCAAGTTACTATGTATGTAATAAATCACACCTGCTGTTTACAGCTAAGCTCTTGGCATTGCAAAAATACTTTTGCTCCAAATTTTAAAGCATGGTCATGAATAAAATTCTGAAGACCTTGCTCAAACAACGCTCCTCGTTGAAATCAATAGTCAAGACTGAGTGAAAACTGTGTAAGAACTTCAGAATTTGGCCCCACATGCAGCAGCACCCTTCTACCTTTAGAACAGTGGCTCCCAACCTTTTTGGATTATAGCCCCAAAATTTGTGATGGAGTAATGGCTGCTTCACCGTTTAGGGCCCCTCACATCCTCCCCTGGTGTGGTTGCCACATCTCACCTTCTTCTCTCCGCTCCCCCATTTTCTCTTTGGTGCTGTTTTTCTCCAGCCTTTCCCCTCCCTCCATCATCAGAACTTTTTCTTTTCTACATATTTTCACAGATTTTGCTTTCCATTTTTATTCTATCTCTACTCTTCCCTCTCCCTGCTTCACCTTCTTCCACACTTTTACTGTCTCATTTTCCCCGTCCTCTTCTGTCCTGGTGGCTTCTCTTCCCTACCACACACTTCTCAGTTACCAAAAGGATCCATGCTGGGTGGAGGGAGCAAATGGCTCCTGCGTGAGGCCTACGGGTTGCAATGGGAGCACTGACATGGCACATAAAAGGGCAGCCTGCCTGAAGAGAGAGTGCAGGGAAGCTGGGTTGCCTATAAAGCTGCCAGCTGCTCTCTACTGCTGGGATTTAGGGAAAGTCTACACATGGAGCAGCAAGTGTAAATTCCAGCTCAAGGAGACATACCCGGACTAGCTCTGATCAAGCTAGTGTGCTAAAAATAGAATGCAGCCGTAGCAGCATGAGTGGCGGGAGGGGCTAGCCAGCCTGAGTACGTGACAGGTTTAGACGGTAATGCTAGTGTCTTGGACAGGTACTGGGTAGTGTCTTGGACAGCCAGCCTCTCCCTGCCATTCGAGCTGGGGTAGCTACACTCTGTTTATAGAGCACTAGCTCAATCAGGTGCTATGTGATTAACTACAGGACCCGGGAAAGGGGAAGCCCTTGGAGATCAGAGGCTCCCTTTCTTTAATGAGTTTCACTGTCAGTGGTCCAGGCTGAGTGTCACATATAGCCACATGCATCTAGAACCCCATGCTCCTTCTCCAGAGTGCTCCTATACCCCTCTCTGTGGATTAAAACTGAGTTCAGTCCTCAATCTCCTAGAGAAGACATTGAGAGCTGCTTGGCATTTGGCACTTGTGAAAAACCAGACCATTTATTGGGATCTAGATTTAGGCTCCCATTTTTGAAAATCTTGCCCCCTGAGTCTACTCGGTTTTTTAGTAGAAGAACTTTTCTCCACAATAGAATGAATTAGGATATACAGGGAACAACAGATAAAGCAAAATAGAGAGAGAAAATAACAATTTACCTCCACTTCACATCCATATTCAGAGCCGTCCAGGAGCGTCACTTTGCACTGCATGTTTTTCGGCTTTTTAACAATCTTTAGTGGAGATCTGGAGAGTTTGCTAGATGATGATTTTTGAGAGAGCTTGTCGTCTTCAAACTGCTGGTATTCCAGCTGTTTTGCAGCAGCAGCAGCAAACTCCCGTTCTCTGTCAGTGACCTGTGAAGAGCAAATGGGAAGATTAAGTTTCAATTTCAGATTAAAATAGTGGCTGTACAATGCAGCCATTCAGAATCAAAATGCACAACTGGCTTTCATCTTATGGAGAGACTATTCACCACTAACAGTTACCCAGCTGCAGCATACAAAAAAGTACTTCATCTTTATTGTTTGGGAAAGCCTGCTTTAGTCAATAAAACAACTGTGTGACTTCCTGTAACTGCCACTTTGAAAGATAAATATATGGCTGGGAAAACCCACTGCAGTAGTATTATTTTAGGCTTATCCCTGGGTCAGCATTTGAGACATCTATAAAGCTGTTATGATGCAATATTGATTGTGGTCCTTTCCCCTGGAACAGATTGTCAGAGCCACTCTAACCTTCATATAGCCACCTTTAATAGTAAATGCATTACATCAGTTGAAGCTCCATTCCAGTAATGGTTACCTCTATAACCAGTTGTGCCCCTGGCTAGCCTCCAGACAAAATTTTGACAACAAAAGCATAGTAATACCTAAGCTAAAGTATAAAATATTAATCTTTTAGTCATCTCACTACCATGAAAAAAAATACATCTGATTTGGCTCTGAACAAATTCAATATAATCAGCAGCCAGCAGCACTGAAATTCATCACAATTTAATCCTCTGAGTCTGTTTTCCTTCAGCGCAACAAGCCTTCATGAGACTGGATCAAATCTGTCCAAAAGCTTTAATCTGCTTTCAGACCAAAACAGTCCTGCGTCACACTGGTAGTGCACAAGACTGTACGGCACACACTGCATCACCACAATATTCCACCTAAATGCAGGGATCTTTCCCTGAGGAATCTCCTGGAAAAAGGTCTCCCAAACATTAGTTTTCCTTCTTTATTCTGTTTGAAGGGGAGAGGGCACTTAGGGCCGGATACATGCCAAGTGATCTAAGCCTGCAAATATAGTGCTCAGTTGTGGTTTTGCTACAGCCCCAGGGCAAGGGGCAGAGCATAGCAGTGCTGTCCCAGGAGCAGACGAGGAACCAGATTGTGAGGACAGTCACAATCTGGTCCTGGGTTCCCCCCTTCCTCCAGGCAGGAACTAAAAGGGACCAGCCCTATATCTGGCTCACATTATTTCCCCTCCTGTGCCCATTTAAATACACTGTCTGGTGTACTATGTTACCATGCCCCTGTCTGCTAAGTCACACCTCATTCATATGCAGAGACTGGTCTCCTCATGGGAGTAAGGCAGTGCCTTATGCCTCTTGCTCCCCTGTGTGGGAGCACAGTAAGGGTCACTGTCTGGCCCTCATCTTGGAGCAGAAAGCAAGAAGGAGAGTCAGTCTAGGAAGATATAAAAAGGAATAGAGAAGCCTCTTTCAAAATCCAGCACATCCTCTTAACAGCAATAAAACATGCTGGGGGCGGGCAGGGGATGACAATGGAAAACAATCCCTGCTATCTCAGCTGGATCTCCTGTCTTAGCTTAGCTACATATTAGTTGAGCGCTTTCTCTTTCAGGCACGTAGGGACAAGAACCTCAACTCCCCCTGAAGCTAATGGGGGATGACAGCATTTAGTGCGCCATGGGATTAGGGCTTCGTAGAGTAATTAATGTCCATAGTGCTCATGGTGTGTAGATGAAGGAAAGCTTTGGAGGGTGGGGGATGGGGATGAACATCCCTTAAGAAGGCAGGTAAGTTGTTCAAAAGGAAAGACCAACGATAACAAAAGCAGAAGAGATTGCTGTTTTAAGAGTAAGAGGCATCTTCAGTCAGAAAGAACTCCCAGACCTCCTCCTTATGGGTTGTTGATTTGTTTCACGGAAAGCTGCAACAGATGTTAATTTCTCTACATATGCATACAAGAGGTGTCACTGGTATTATTTTGTTGGACTAATCAAGTAGACCCAAACGAAACTAAATTAAATCTGTCCAAGGTTAGAACCACAAAGGATTTTCTATAATTTGCACAGAGCACAAAAACATGCCAGGAACTATTAGAGAGGGCCCCAAAACTGTGATGACATGTCCATGCATTGAGATGATTTCAAAGTGAATTAAGCCTCCTCCTCTTAAAGAAACTTGACATTCTGTTGGTGCCGTTATCTAGGGCAAAAGCAACCACTAAGAAGCAACCGCATTCACTAGGTTATTTTGAATTTTGCATGCATAGGTGCATTCTCTCCCGAGCCACATTCTCCTCACGGCCCATTTATGCTGTATTTTTGGAGTATTTCAATGCCACGGCTTGCCATGCCATCAACATCTAATAGAGCAGAAGTTGCTTCAGGGTTGTTGTTGGAACATAATTTTTGCAGTTACAGCATTAATGATACAGACAGAAAAGCTGAACAGCAGCAGGGCTGTCTTCTGATCATATAATTTGGGCGTTGTTCAAGCAATTTACTGCCAGTTCAGGGATTCAGAGTCAGTGAATAAATAAGGGGTTTTGTACTAAAATGTTTTACTTCTGAATCTTTCAGGGGTGGGCGTGTATCTGGTGTTTAGTTTGATATATCCGCATTTCATTTTCATGGGTTTCATTTCAGCTTGTTGGCTTTAGAAGCTGAGAGAGGACAGTCAAATCCCAGAAATCCTCTGGATATTGGTCTGGTACAATTGGAGTCTGTTTATGAAGTCTTTCACCCTCCAAGAACTTGGTGGATTTACTAAATAGATTAGTTCAGAAGGGAACACAGTTTGGAAATCCCAAAACATACGTGTGAAGAAGTAGTAACATTTTTTTCCAGTCGCTGTGAAGTCAGCAGGAGTTCAGTGCTATTCTCTGCAGTGAGAGGGTCATCAACACAGAAGATTAAAAATAATAGTGGAAGACTGGGAGAGAGGACAAGGAAAAGTGAAGCATCTAAGAGAAGACCCACAGCCCTGGGAGACTGATATATGACAGCCACGTAGAGTAATAAAGGAGGAGTCAGAGGGAGAGTCACGTTTCTGTGAGAACCAGGAGATGGAGAGCGTGTGGGAGAGAGATCATGAACTGCAGTTGGTTTGGAAGATTTGTGTTACAGTTGCATTCAGCTATTGAGAAGGGGCCCTCATAAACGGGCAATTCAAATAAAAACATGTGAATACTCACATTGCCGTGGTCATTTGAACATGCAATTGCCGTGCTTATGGATCTGTCTGAACATTTGAAGTGTTCATTTCATTAAGGCACACGAAGTTCAGTGTGCACCACATGCTTCAAAATCAATTCTAATTTCCTTATTGAAAACACTGTACATACCAAGCTAGAAGTTTTTAAACAAATCCCTTTTAAAATGAGACAGCAAAAATATTTTGGACAGTTTTTCAAGTATATTTTTCATACTTGCTTAACTCAAAAACAGCTGAACAGATTTTCTTCAAAGAACATAGGCTTCCTCTTCATTTGCCAGGCCACCCTGCTCTGTCTTCCCCTGAGTCCCACCCTCTCAAGGAGCCTGTAGGAGCTGCTTCTGCCTCTTCTCCATGCCCAAGTTCCTTCTAAATGGCATGCAGTGAAGGGCTAGTCATCACATCATCACATGACTTTTTGGCCTTAAGTGGTGCTACTGGATTGGATATATTAAAGGTGTGAACCATTTATAGCACCAGAGGAAGCCAACTATAAAGTTTTTTCTGTCCCTCAGTCAAGATATTGGTGTGATTCTGCTTGAGTTAGCTCAATGTTTTGTTGATGCTGCTTTACAGGGACCTTTTTCGGTTGAAGTTTCTGCTGCCTGCACCAGGTAGAGCTGAGCAACATACTTGAGAATGACAAAATATTTCCCTTCTTTGGAAGAGTGGGCGCTCTCTCCTTCTTTGGTGCATTGGAAGAATGCTGTACTGGTAGAGCTGCGAGGGATTTGGAATTTTCATACCGTGAGAAATTCCAACATTTGTTTTTATCTCAAATTGGGACCAAAATTTGAAGTTGCAAAAATGTTTGTGGAATGAAAATTCTGAAAAATTTTGATTCAGAAATTTAAACACAAAAAGCTTTTCAACAGTCCCAAAATCTGTTCTAGTTTGGTTTGTTGAAATTACCCAACATGTTTTGTTTTGAGTCATTTCAACATAAAACTGCCTTTTCCCATTGTAGCACATTGCTTTATGGGAGCTGCAGTTCAGAAACCCGAAGCCCCCATTTTCTCCTAGGGGCCTGGTTGGATTACATCTCTCATGATGCACCCACAGTCATGCGATTCCCATTATGCATCACACATAGCTTGGTCAGAGGGCAATTTTCATTGCATTATGGGAGAGAAAAGGCCTGAACTACAATTCCCATAAAGCAATGCACTGATAAGAAAATGCAATTTAATGATTTACTGAACTGATTCTAAATTAAAAATGTCAAGGCAGTTCAACAAACGAAGTATTCCAATTTGGGTTGAACCAAATTTCCTGATGAAAAAATATCAAAAATATATTAGCAAAATCAAGATATTCCCACAGAAAATGTTGATTTTTGTGGAAACTACATTGTCCATTGAAAAATCATTTTGATGGAAAATTCCCCAACCAGATCTATTTATTGGTAAGTTTCAAGGTGCCTGGATTTATGGATGTATGTGATGGAAACCTGGATTAACTATAGAGGCCATCAGAGTGGGAGAATTGTCATAGCTGGGTTGGTGGAGCCCCTTAAGTGACAGATTTGGGCCAGTATTCACAAACTGGACAAGAAATGGATAATTAAACGGACCTCATCTGGTGGTAAGAACATTGTGAGGACAGGAAGGGAGTCAGGGCTTGGTACAAGTCAGGGGACTCCACAGGGCCATTTGGGATGTGCAGTTTGAGGATGTCATCTTTTTAGCTTGAGTTGGGCAAAAATGGCAAAAAAATTCAAGACCCGCAGGTTGAGATTTACAAAGTAGTCTAGAGGATTAGGCAATTATCTTCCCAAAAATAATGGAGGGTAAGTGTCAAAAACCAGAATGGTAGATCACTGGGATTTGGGGTTTAATACAGATTTAAAAACAGTATGGCCATCTCAGCTTTAAGCACATACAAAGAACAGCTCACTTGGCTTTCCACTTCACAGTTCATTAACTATAAAGGGCCTAACAATTTGTTTTATGTAAATCAGATCAGGGTACCTGAAAGGTGTGTTACTCTTGTCTATTACTGCAGCTCCTTTAGCACAGTTATATGAGTATGCTGACCACATCCATATTATCACTGTTATTACTATGATATAAAAAAGCTTAACATTTTTTAATGAATTTCAGCAGAGACTGGTTATTTCTTGTTATGTCTGAGAAAAAGCCAGAATAATTTCTTCTGTTCCACCCCTACTTTTTTTTACAACTAACTCATAATTCAGGTTCAACCCCAGTAAATAAGGAACACAAATTTTATTGCAACTGATTGCACCTGGGTATTTTTAGAAACACTACATAATGGAAATCTTTCCTGCAGAAAGCTGCATTTGGAGAGGAGTGCCAGTTCACGTTTCAGTGCTCTAAAAAAAATAAGAAAGCTATATGTGTGTGTGTATATAAAACTTGACACACTAGGCCTATGACTTTTCCATCCATGAATAGATGTTGCTCTGATGCAACACGCTTTCAACCCCTCTGAAACTGGAATCCCTTTTGATAGAGACATTTCAGAGTCACAGAATCTAGCAACGGTGGTCTTTGATGCTGTCCAGCCTCTGCATCAGGCATGAAATACAAGTAAATCTGTTGAATATCTGCATGTTTTAGATTTAGGTAGCTGCTCAGTGTTTAGAGCCCAGCATGTGGACTTTCTTCTCCACTACATCACCTTGGGGTATGGCAGAAAGATGGGAGGATTAAATTATTGTATTGGATGAAAAGTGTGTTCATTTTTGGAGTAGATTCCAGAGGGAGGGGCTCAGCATCAATGTAAAAAATACACAGTACTTTTCTTCCTTTTTTTTTTTTTTTTTAAAGGAAACAAAACAACTTTTCTTGTGTATGTAACGACAGTAAGGAAAACCATTGTAATTGGGCAATGAAATATATCTTGTCCCAGGGATTCTCTCACAGAACTGGTAATAACGACAGTACAAACTTCCTCACTCTGACTGTCTCTCTCACTTCTGAGACAGAGGAATGAGAAGAAAATAAAGCCATTGCCCAACCAGTTTTTGCCCTCTTTGCTGACCCCCAGTTTGAGAACCCCTGTTTTAGAACTATAGTGGTTTAAAAACCTCTGAGATTTTACATGGGTCACACATAAAACAAGCATCAGTTTTCAGCAGGTGTCAGCATGAAAATAAACCCTATAAACTCTTTCAGTTTCTAAAAAAAAAAAATTAGTGTGATCTGAGGCAGTGAAAGACTGAAGGGTTTTCCCCTCCCTTTAAGGATAACATTGGACTCTGAAATTAAGTGCAGCAGGTAGGAGATCTGACATTAATTCCAAAAGATATTGCTTGACTGTGAACTAAAATATTTTTAAGCCCTCAGGACCAGGCAATCAATATAGCAAAAGTGCAAAAATTGTCATCAAACTAATGGAACTTTTTAATTCAGAAAAAAAAAATTGTTTCGACTAAACCACAGGTTACCCCCTAGTCGTTAGTTAATAAGATAGCATTTAATCAACCACGTTCAGCAAACCTAGAAATGGTTCACTTGCCTGCTCTTTTTTCACAGGCGTACTGTGTGCTGCCACAGCAGAGAACTGGTCTATCGCGTTCTGATGTTCCTCACTGAGCTGCTGCTGCTGCTGGTCTTGAGGTTGTGCCCCAGCTGTCCCTTGCTGAGCAGGGGCTTCTTGCTGGTCTTGATCTTGATCCTTGGATTCAGAGTCTGATCCCGATTCTGTAGTCATGGTTGATTATGCTGTAAAACAAGATGGCCAGACCTACTCAATGTTATTCTTGCAGCTGCTGCTGCTGCTATTTTCTCTTTTTCAATTACATATGAAAATGGAGAAAGACAATCACAAATTTTTTGTCTCATTGTTTCTGGCCCTGAAAAATCTAATAGTGTACAGTGGATCATATTCATTTGTGGCCCACTCTGTTTGGTTTCTTGGAAAAGCATCTCTTGATGCAGAGGACTAGGACTAATTACATTTATGGATTTTAAGGAGGTTTATGCATCCATACTTTCACTCTGTATGGTCATTTAATGAACATATTGTAGCAAAAGTACATTAATATAATAAATAATAATAATAAGATATAATAAATTAATAGAGTGTTTGAAAGCCAATGAGTAAAATTTTCTAGAGCATGTAAATGACAGAGGAGCCTATTGGTTTTTCTAAGCATTTAAGAGCTCCTTAGTCTCACTTAAAGTCAATGGGATACTGGCTCCTTAGTTCCCAAGTCACTTTTGAAAAAGGGACTTACGTCTTTTGCAAATTTTACCCAGTATCTTTAGTGTTAATATTTAACTGTTATAGAGAGATACTGCATGAAAATTAGCCACTTTGTTGCTATGAGACATGGTTAGCTTTTAATGAAGGTGTTACTATGAGTCAAATTCTGCTCAGTGACCTGAACTAAAGGGTAGAGGGTTATACTTACACAGGTTAAGTGGATGCACATAAAAATTCATTCTGGTTCTAGAGCTATTATTGATTCTAGCACTATTTCACATTTTAAGTCAAAGGAATCGCTCTGAAACCCACAATCTCTCTAAAATCAGTATGAACTTTTTAAGTACGCTCCCCACAGTCCCACTGCCTTCAATGAGGCTTTACTTGAATGAGTAAGCAGAATTTGGCCCTATATTTTATTCAGCCCCACACGGATATGATTCAATTATACTTTCATCATTCCCCTCAATACGCCTGAATATTAAAAACAAACAAACCCAAAAACGTTATTACTTTATCCCAAGACCTCTAAACTTTGTGGGTTTTTTTAAAATGGAAAAAACAAGAGGCCTCAGTATGAAAAGTGTGTGTTTGAGCTTATTTTCATTCAGTAATAAATCAACATGAAAATATTAGCAAGAAAATATTTCACATTAAAAGAACATATTGTCAGCACAGGGCCTCATACCATAGAGGAACAAAACCCAGTTAAACACTGTCACAACCATTCTACATCAAACAAGGATTTGAAAGAAAAGATTCTACATTAGCACAAGTGGCACAATGAATAAATCTAACATTATCTTCAATATTTGAACCTTATTAGCCTTCACTGTCTTATAGATCTACATCTTGATTTTAAGCTATTTAAAAAAAAAATCAGGCTCTTACAAACTATTTCTGTTCATCAAGTCATAATTTCTTTAACCTGGTAACTATAGTTACTTTCCAATTACAAGCAATTCCACAGAACATAAAGCTGCTTATTAATTTGGTATATGAGTTCCACTATCAATTCCTAGATTAAACTAATGATGCTTGCTAGTACAATAAGTTTGGTTATCTCTGTTTGTTTTTTCCATTTTAACAGCTTTATTTTTTTTCCAGACCATTTACTAGGGTTCCATTGTTTTAAATGAAAATGTTCAGTAAGGTATTTGAAAATATAATTTGATAAGTCATTTGTCTATTGGTTGACATCTTCTATACACTGAAGACCAAATTTTCAAAGGGGCTCTGTTTGTACATGCACAGCTCTGTGTGTGCAATTTTTGTGCACTCTCTCTTGTGCACATAAATGGTGAATAAATCAGTAATGCTCAATGTGTTCAACTTTTGTGTAGGGTGTGTGTGTAAATTCTTACACTGTATGCAACAAGTGATATGATGCAAATATTGTGAGAGCAAACTGACACCACACTTTGGAAATCTGTCCTCAAATATTTAATCTATTACCTTATCAGGTATTTATTTAGAAGGACACATATACTTCTGTATACACTTCTTTTGCACAGGTATATAAAATGTGTCCTTTAACAGTCTTATCATTTTAACAATATATAAATAAACTCAGAGAAGAGCAGGAGAGAGAGGAAAAAGAATTGTTGGAGGTCATTTTAAAAGGGCTGATCATGGCTCAGAGTTCAATTCATTAAGCTATTCATTTTTGTTTACTTTAAAAATAAATTGTAAAATAAGGTTAATCTCTTGTTGTTTTGCATTGCCCATCTGTCACATCAGCGTGTAATGACCTATCCTTCATCTGATGCTACTACTGCCACTATTATAAACCACTGTGGTTTGCAATGTTGTTGTAGTCGTGTTGACTCCAGGATATTAAAAAGAGTTCCTGCCGCCCTTCCGGGGAGCCCCCCTCCAGATAAGCACCGCCCTGCACCCCAATACCCAGCCCTGAGCCCCCCCACACCCAAATTCCTGCTGCTGGGGGGCGGGCCCAAAACTGCCCCAGCAGCAGCCGGTGTGGCTCCTCAGGCAGCTCCTGGGCCATCCGCACGGGCCACTGCAGAAGTCACGGAGGTCACTGAAAGTCATGGATTCCGAGACTTCTGTGACCTTCGTGACAAACATGGAACCTTTTTTTCTTTTTTAAGTGCACACTGCCACGTGACCCAGCAAGCGCAGACAAACCCTGGCTGTAGTTAAAGGGAATGCAGAAACTTCCGTGATGAGGTTTGTCAACGTGTGGAAACTTTCCAGCGGCAAGAACGCCCTGGCACAGGTCGAGTCGAGGACTGCTCCGATGAACTCTATCCTCTGTACGGGCACTAACATCGACTTTTTGTCATTTACCAGTAGGTCCAGAGAGCGGCACATGGCTTGAAGCACCACTACATAACATAACATAAGAACGGCCGTACTGGGTCAGACCAAAGGTCCATTTAGCCCAGTATCCTGTCTACCAACAGTGGTCAATGCCAGGTGCCCCAGAGGGAGTGAACCTAACAGGTAATGATCAAGTGATCTCTCTCCTGCCATCCATCTCCACCCTCTGACAACCATTCCTTACCCATCCTGGCTAATAGCCATTAATGGACTTAACCTCCATGAATTTATCCAGTTCTCTTATAAACCCTGTAAACCCTTCACAACCTCCTCAGGCAAGGAGTTCCACAAGTTGACTGTGTGCTGTGTGAAGAAGAACTTCCTTTTATTTGTTTTAAACCTGCTGCCCATTAATTTCATTTGGTGGCTCCTAGTTCTTGTATTATGGGAATAAGTAAATAACTTTTCCTTATCCACTTTCTCCACATCACTCATGATTTTATATACCTCTATCATATCCCCCCTTAGTCTCCTCTTTTCCAAGCTGAAAAGTCCTAGCCTCTTTAATCTCTCCTCATATGGGACCGCCCTTCTCTGAACCTTTTCTAGTGCCAGTATATCTTTTTTGAGATGAGGAGACCACATCTGTATGCAGTATTCAAGATGTGGGCATACCATCGATTTATATAAGGGCAATAATATATTCACCATCTTATTCTCTATCCCCTTTTTAATGATTCCTAACATCCTGTTTGCTTTTTTGACTTCCTTTGGACTTTAGACCTGGAGCTGCCCTTGATGAGCCAGCTGTCAAGCTACGGGTAGATCTGGATACCCCGGCGCCTGAGGTAAGCCCCTACCATCAACATGCACTTGGTAAACACTCTTGGTGCTGTCACCAGGCCGAACATGAGGACTGCAAACTGGTAGTGGTGGGGCCCCACTGTAAACGGGAGGAAGCATCTGTGTCCTTGAAAGATCACTATATGGAAGTATGAGTCCTTCAAGTTGAGGGTGGCATACGAGTGTCCCGGATCCAGGGAGGGGATAACAGAAGCGAGGGCAACCATGCGGAACTTTAGCTTCTTTAGGTACTTGTTGAGGTCTTACAGGTCCAGGATGGGCCATAGACCACCCTTGGCCTTTAGGATTAAAAAGTACTGGGAATAGAACCCCTTGTTCCAGTACTCAAGAGGAACTTCTTCCACCACACCCAGCTGTAGCAACATTTTTACTGCCTGCATGAGGAGACTCTTGTGAGAGGAGTCCCTGAAGAGGGACAGGGAAGGCGGGTGGGAAGGGGGGTATAAAGGAACTGGAGGATATAACCCTGCTCCACTGTGCTGAGGACCCAATGGTCCAAGGTTATAGCGGTCCAAGCAGAGAGGAAAAGGGAAAGGTGGTTGGAGAACACTGGGACAGATGGATCCGGGGAACAGTCTGGTAGGTCACACTCGGGTGCCCCCTCAAACGACCATTTGGCCCCTTGCTTGAAACGGGTCGAGCCCGACTGGGCAGAGGGTGGAGCCCAGAGGCCCTGAGGCTGCTGCGGTTTGAACCGCTTATGCGCCGGGGCTGGGACATAGAGACCCAGGGTTTTCAGGTTGGTGCGGGAGTCCTTGAAGCCATGCAACTTGCTGTCCATTTGATCCACAAATAGGGCTTGGCCATTGAAGGGCAAGTCCTGCATTGACTGTTTGAGAAGTACTACTAAGTGTAAGTAAGAAACTACTAACTATATACAACTATATTACAGGTTTTCACAGTTCGCAAGACACAAGGCTAGCTGAAGCAGCAGACATTCCAACACCATCACTAGCAGCAAGAAGGAACTGAGGGTGGGGGGAGCCAGCAGTCCCCTTATACCGTGCCATGCGGGCGCCACTCCAGAGAGCACCGGAGCCAGTCCCCCATGGATACTGCTGAGGCAAAAACTTCTGGCACCAGTGCATGTGGCGAGCAAAAACACCTAATATGGAATGGACATGAGCAAGCACTCGAAGAAGTAGTAGTATTTTTTTTTTGCCTTAACTTGTGTGAATGTTGTGTTCATGTATGTGAAGGACTTAGGGCTGAATACTGGTTCTGCACACATTGAAGTGGGGAAGAGAAGGACCTCCAGGAAATGTAGATAAGAACTTATGGTGGGTGTTTAGGACTATAGTGGCTCATGCTGCACCTGTCTACCCCACCCTCATCATCATCTCCATTAACGCCCTAGAAGGGGCAGAGTTTAAAAAATACCTTTCTTATCT